GATACAGCCCAGGACACTGTTGGCTTTTTTTTGCAACAAGAGCACACTTTTGTTTCATATTCAGATTATTGTCCACCGTAACCCCTAGGTCCAACTCTGCAGTTCTGCAGCCCAGCTGGTCATTCTTCAGTCTGTATTTGTGCATGTAATTATTCCTTCCCAAGTGCAGGATTTTGTACTTGTCTTCACTGAATATCATCTCATTGATTGCAGACCAGTTTCCAGCTCATTATGAATCCTATCCCTACCCTCCAGAGTGTCTTCAACTTTACCTAATTTGGTGTTATGCACAAACTTGCTAAGTGTGCACTCAATCCTATCATCCAAATCAATAATGAAGATGTTGAACATTACCAGATCCAGGACAGACCCCTGGGGACCCCCATCTGATGCCTCCCCACAACTAAACATTGAGTCGTTGTTGACTATCATTGAACAAAATGATCAAACCAGTTCTGTATCCATGGGTGGATCTAGGATTTTGATAAGGGGGGTGCAGATGGTGTGGTGTATCATCTCATATAACACAGTATATATTTTCTTCAGGTAAAAAGAAACTAGAAGCTTTACTAATATGCTAGGGGCCTATTATTCAGTTTCATGGATATACAAACAAATATAAATAAATATATCAGTTTGACCTCAATCCCTGGGAAGATCTTGGAAACATTCATCAAAGAAACCATCAACAACAGGCTAACTGAAAGCAACATTTTGAGAGATAGCCAGCATGACTTTGTTGCAGGTAGGTCTTGCCTGACCAACCTCATTTCCTTCTATGACCAGGTGATGCATCACATGGACAAAGGAGAAGAGGTTGATGTTGTATATTTAGATTTTTAAAAAACCTTTGATTTGGTCTCCCATGATGTCCTCATGGTAAAATTAGAGAACTGTGGCCTCGACAACCTTATAGGCTGATGGCTGGGGAACTGGCTCTGTGGTTGGACCCAAAAAGTGATAGTTGATGGAACCGAGTCAACATAGTACATAGTGACCAGTGGCATCCCCCAGGGCTCCATTCTTAGACCTGTACCTTTTAATGTATTTATAAATGATCTGGACTCTGGTGTCATAGGTTCATAGGTTCATAGATGCTAGGGTCGGAAGGGACCTCAATAGATCATCGAGTCCGACCCCCTGCATAGGCAGGAAAGAGCGCTGGGTCTAGATGACCCCAGCTAGATACTCATCTAACCTCCTCTTGAAGACCCCCAGGGTAGGGGAGAGCACCACCTCCCTTGGGAGCCCATTCCAGACCTTGGCCACTCTAACTGTGAAGAAGTTCTTCCTAATGTCTAGTCTAAATCTGCTCTCTGCTAGCTTGTGGCCATTATTTCTTGTAACCCCCAGGGGCACCTTGGTGAATAAAACCTCACCAATTCTCTTCTGTGGCCCCGTGATGAACTTAAAGTGTCAGAAGCGGACTGGCTAAATTCACGGACAACACCAAATTATGGGGAAAAGTAGTCACTCTAGAGGACAAGTTGGCAATTAAAGCCGACCTGGGCAGGCTTGCAAGGTGGGCGGGTAAAAACCTGATGACATTCAATTCAGAGAAATGCATGGTGCTCCACCTTGGGAGAAAAATCTCACATCATACTTACAGGCTTGGTAGTGCTACACTCACAACACCACAACCGAAAGAGAATTGGGCATCATGATTGACCACAAGATGAACATGAGCTACCAGTGTGATGCCAGCAAAGCAAATAAAACTCTGTCTTGCATCTACCAATGCATCTCAAGCAAGACCCAAGAAGTCATCCTTCTGCTTTACTCCACCTTGGTGAAGTCGCAGCTGGAGTACTGCATCTAATTCTGTGCTCCACATTTTAGAAAAGGTATGGAGAAGCTTGAGAGAGTCCAAAGGAGAGCCACATGCATGATTAGAGGTCAAGAAAAAAGGCCTTATGAGGAGAGGCTGAGAGGCATGGGACTCTTCAGCCTGGGAAAGTGAAGGCTCAGGGGTGACTTGGTGGCAGCTTGTAAGTATATAAGGGGTGTACATCAGGAACTGGGAGAACTTCTGTTCACCAGGGCACCCCAAAGGAAGACAAAGTCTAGCAGTCACAAACTGCTGGAAGACTATTTTAGACTGGACATAAGGAAAAACTTTCTTACTGTCTGTGTCTCCAGAGTCTGGAATAGACTCCCCCCAGAAGTAGTGCAAGCACCTGTTCTGGATACCTTTAGAAACACTTGGATGCTTAACTTGCTGGAGTGATCTGACCCCAGCTGACTTCCTGCCCCTTGGCAGGGGGCTGGACCCAATGATTTCGCGAGGTCCCTTCCAGCCCTAATGTCTATGAAATCTATGAAATAACTTCATTGGAATGAGTAAAAAACAGCCTGCAGGGCTGTGAAAAAGGAGCTACATTATCAGAAGCAGCTAACAGACAGCAGAATTGATTAGGCTAGCTTGATTAGTGGAACATCATGACCATTAAGAAGAAGAGAGGGTCATTAACACCTGTGGAATGAAGAATGTTGAAAGAATCCCGGGGAGAAGGAATCAAGTGGGGGGAGGAGGGTGCAACTGCACCAGTGCACCCCTCCCCCCCATCAGCCCCTGTCTGTTTCCACCTTCAACACTTTCATCTAATCTGTATTTTCTTAGCTTGTTAATGAGATTGTTGTTGGAGAAGTCAAGGTATATCACATTCACTGTTCTTCACTCATCCACAGAGCCTGTCCCCTTACCATGGAAGCAAATCAGGTTGGTTATGCATGACTTACTTTTGGTGAATCCATGCTGGCTGTTCCTGATCACCTTGTTCTTGTCTAGGTGTTTCACCATAAATTCCCTGAGGATCTGCTCCATGACCTTTCAGGTATTGAGGTCTAGTCTGTAATTCTCTTGATCTTTCTTCTTCCCTACTTTAAGGATGGGCACTATATTTACAATTTTCCAACCATCTGGGACCTCAATTAACCTGTAGCTCATAGAATCATATAAAAGTAAGGCTGGCAGAAACCTCTAGGAATCATCTAGTCCATCCCCATGCCTGAGGCAGGATCATTTCTATCCAAACCATCCCAAGTAAATCCTTATCTGACCTATAACTAAAACTGTACGGGCAATTCTGCCACACAAGCACAAAGCATAGCACTCTAATCTGCCACATGTAAAGCAGGGGGACAATGGTGGCTAATGTCCTGCTGCTACAAAGGTTGTTAAAATACCTTTAACAGATCCAAGGACAAGGGTCGTATCCCCCACTACAGAGGAAGGTAACCGCTGCCCCTCCCCACTCTTCCAGTCTGTAGTAATCAGACCATGAGGTAAAATCCCTTCCTGACTCCATATATTGCAACTGGTCTGACTCTCAGCAGATGGCCAAGACCCTTTAACCAAGAACCTCTGGGTTTTTGTCCATCCTAATAAAAATCCCCTGCCTTGGCTGCAGCCAATATCCAACACTCCTGAGGAAGGGGAAAAAAAATCCCTTCTTATGTAACAACGAGAGAGGGAAAAATTATTTCTCAGTATCATGTGGCAACCAGCAAAGCCAAGAAGTATGGGAAATACCCATAGTATAGCATAGGCATAGCTACTCCTATATCACCCCTGATCAATGCTTATATAATCTCTTCTTGAATGCCTCCGATGGAGGTTCCACAAGTTCCCTAGGCAGCCTGTTCCACTGCCTCACTATTCCAGGAATGAAAACGTTTCTTCTCATATCGAGGCTAAACCTACTTTCTTGCAACTTCAAATCACTGGTCCATTTCTTGCTCTCTGCAACTAGAGAGAGAAAATATGTTTTCCCTCATCTTTATGGTAGGCCTTCAGATATTCAAAGGCTGCTGTCATGTCCCCTCTTAAGTGCCTTTTATATAAGCTGAACATGCATCTATTTCCTTTAGTCTCTCCTCATATAACTTGCCTTCCAAGTCCTTTATCATTTTTGTCATCCACCTCTGGACCTTATCTAACTTGTTCATGTCCTATATAAAACATGGATCCCAAAAGTATGTGCAGCCCAAACGTCCAGCATCCAAATCATTAAATAACACTGTCCTCTGTGCGAATCCACTCAAAACTTCCTGTCATTCCAACATGACTCCATTTATAATTACTCTTTGCTTGTCATGTTGAGCCAGTTGTTTAGCCACCTTATAGTAATTTGGTCTAGCCCACATTTCCCCAATGTATTTATGAGAAGGTCTTGTGAGACTTTGTCTAAAGCCTTGCTGAAGTCCAGATGCACTATATCCACTGCATTCCTTTCATCTAATTATCTTGTTGAAGGAGATGAAGTTGGTTTGGCACAATGTGTTCATAGCAAATTCATGCTGGCTGTTCACCCAGATTTCCTTCTGATATGCTCGAGTAACTTTCCAGGTATTGAAGTGAGGGTAACTGGTCTGTAGTTTTTCAGGTCTTTTGGCCTTATTTTTTAAAAAGGGGCACTATGTTGGCCCTTTTCCAGTCCTCTGGTACCTTGTTCACCTCTGATGACTATGTAAATATTATTGCCAAGGGCTCTGCCAGTTCCTTTAATACCCTGGGATGAACTCCATCAGGCTCTGATGACTTGAATTCATTCAGACCCATCAGAAGCTCTGTGACTGTTTATTTTGTTATCACTTAACTTGACCCCTTCCTTGTCCAAATAATCCTTTTTATCAGCCTGGTTGTAGCCTAATGTGTTGTGAAGACTGAGGCAAAGCAGGTGTTGAGAAGCTCGGCCTTCTTTGCATCTCCTGTTAAATTGGAGATCGGCATTCTTTGCATCTTCTGCAAAGAGTTTGCTCTGGCTACTTAACAATGTAGACCCACAGCTTCTTGGTCTTACTGTTCTGGCCAACATATCTACAGAACCTCTCCCTCCTGTCCTTAACTTGCTTCACCAGATGAAGTTAAATCTTACATTTGTTTTCCTGATTCCATCCCCACAAGTTCCTGTTATTTCCTGGTGTGCTTCGGTGGTGACATGCCTATCTTTGCATTGCCTGTATGCTTTCCTTTTGTATTTGAGGCTTCCTAGAAGCTCCCTGTGCAGCCACATTTGTCTCTTGTCATTACTCTCACCATTGTTACATAACTTGCACCATCTGGAAGTCACTTTTGGCAGAGAAACCTTGTTTATTCAGGTCCAAAGTGCTGTGCTGGAAGGTTATGTCCTTACATTCTTGCAAGAATAATTTTCTAGTTTCAAGTTTCCGAATTCCCTCTTCATTGCTGCCATGAGTCATGCTATCTATAAACTATTCATACTTACAGGGTTTTGAGAGTGCTTACAAGTCTTTTACTATCTAATTAAATGTTTCATCTACATATCATTTGAGAAAGTTGAACACGTGCTCAGATATGCTATTTCTCTTCTGAGCACAATGATTCTTAGGTATTTTGATCAAAACTGTGATTTGCCTCATGTTCAAATAGAAAATGTGCTACAAATCTTCCAAGCCAGTTCTCTTGAATAATGCAGTAACATTGAGTAGTTCATTTTTTTCTGATTTGGTGTCCTTCTCTGTTGCAATCATATACAGTTTGATCTAAACCCAGGGTGGGTGTTATGTGTTTTCTTAAGTAATTAACATTTTTGGTGGATTCAATTGTAATGGGGGACAGCAGTGCTCTTGGGATGGGAAATGGAACCCAGGGCCTGTCACACATTAGATAATGTTCTCAAATGTTGCTTTATTGTGACGACTAAAAGCACCTGGTGACAGGGACACAAATGAACCTATTTTTCTCCTCCTGCAGTACATGAAAGTAATTGTGACCAGACTGGATGGGAAGGAGACCACATTGCTCCAGTTACATTGATGTAGATCCACAATACTTCCAGATTTACACTTAGGTAAATATTACTTTTTATTATTATATTATCATACATTCTGTCAGTCTATCCATCTGATTCTTGTCTTATACTTAGCTTGTATAATCCCTTAGGGTAGGGACTGTTTTTTTGTTCTGTGTTTGCGCAGCACAGTGTCTTGCTGGGGATCCAGGCATTGACGCAATAGAGATGATAATAGTTGTGTAATATCTGTATTTTAATAGTGCCCATAGGATTGAAGCCTGATTAAGCTAGATACTATAATGATAATGAGAAAGAGGCAGCCTCTGCCTATGGAACAGGTTACAACAACAGCACAGTGATGGCTGTCAGGGAATGTATCAACTCATCTGAGTTGGTTTTGTTTTTTGTGGTGGAGGGCTATATAGAAAATTATAAATACACACAAAAATCCAACACACTATTTTAAAAGAACATCATGAAGGTTGAAATGCACTCAAAAGGTAGGAAATACAAGAATTAAGGTTGCTTGTGAGAATTTCATTCCCCTTACCTCAGACCACCTTGAGCATATGCATTATAATACAATATTTAATTACACAATCACATACCTTTTTTACACAGGACGCTTGCCTGGTTCAGTGCATCCTTAATGAGTGGCTACTCAATATTTTGTTTACTTATTGTTCAATATGTGCCTAAGTTCTTATTTACTGCAAAATCTGCTGAAAAGACAAAATTATTAATTCCTCATTGCAGGGTTGTTGGTTGTAGCCATGTTGGTCTAAGGACATACACAGGCAAGGTTCTTTGGGTAGAAGTGATATCTTTAATTAGACCGACTAAATAGTTAGGGGAAAGTTCTTTGTAAGCTTTTGGGCACATACACCCTTCTTTAAGCTGAGTGTCCCAATGCCCGAAGAAAGGTGTTTGTACCCAAAAGCTTGTGAAGAACTTTTCCCAAACTATTTAGTTGGTTTAATAAAAGATCTCACATCTACCCAAAGAACCTTGCCTGTGTTAATTCCTCATTGACTTTTTATGGTGCTCATTATTAGTTTCTTATTGCTTCACAAACATTAATTAATTTTCACAACACCTTTGGGAGATGAGGGGGATTAGTACTTCCATTTTAGAACTGGGAATAGAACCAAAAGCTTGGGATGATTTTGGGTGCCCAGTCTGAAATGCTCAGCACCTGATTACTTCGCATTATAGAACACTTCATATATTCAAAGTACACCTCCCATCCACACCACTTAGAGATGTGAGAACTCAGTGCTTCCACCAATCAGATGCCAGAGTCTCAGAAGAGGGACCCAGAAAATAATAAATACACATGATTTTCTTGTTTATGGCACCACAGTGTCACACTGAGGTCTATCACCAGGAAGCATGGTCTGCCCATTTGCTCCCCATCAGTCTACGCCAAACTTCAGAAGTAAGATAGTGTAGGGCTGTCTTAGAGCAGCTCTGAGTGCACGAGAAGGACACCTACTACAGGGAAGCTGGGAGTGGTCTTGGGTATGCTATTCAGGAGGGCTCTCTGCTGGCTACACTGGCTTATTTGGGGGATTTGGCACACACCTAGCAGGAACAAGTGGGCAAGGTCTGATTCTGATTATCCACAGTAGTTTCAGGTGCAGCAAAAGAAGCAGTGTGGACACACCCTAAGTGACCATTTATGAAAACTTTGCTTCAAGAGATTTGTGTGGCACCATACAGGAACTCTGGGGCAGACGCAGGGTTAGAATCTAATTCTCTTGTGTGGTATTAAACAGCCTTACCGTGAAACTGCCCTCTCTCTCCCCGCTGTCCTCTGACTGATTCACTATACGTGCAACATGGGAAGCAGTGGTACTACAGACAGCAGCCTCCCTCATAACACAAGCTTGATTCATCCCAAGAGTGGTCTTGAAGACATATTCATAAAGTAATAAAAAATAGGTCTCAAAGGGATACAAGGTCATCTAGATGTCACTCAAGACAGAGGATCATATTTGTCTAAACTGTCCCAGGTAAATGTTTCTCTAATTAGAATTTAAAGATTTCCAATGACAGATTCCATGGC